TAAGAGCTCTGATTCAAAACCTTTATGTTCATTTTTAATAATTATAAATCTATAACTTGTACTTTCATTTAGGGTAAGACTAAGTTCTTAGAACTCATCATGTTTTCAATAAGAAAGAACCTGTTAGAACTTATTCCTTGTGAGTATTTTTGGTTCATATAATTCAGGACATATTAAACAGTTTAGAGGCTATTGAATGAATTATAAATCACTTACTAGTGATCATTATGGAGAAACATATGTGTGTCAAGAAAGGTCCAGTGGAAAGATATGTCTGCATAGTACTATTAATATATAATCAGCTGGAAAAATGTTTAGTAGAGCATCTCCTTTTTCACCATCAATTGAAAATTTTCACTGTTTTGGTGCCGTACAAACCTAGACTAAAGACACTAAGTAAACAATCACTTTAAATGGCCAATTATGTCCACTACTTAATATTTATATAAACATAAAAAGCAAAACTACACCATAAACTTGCTTGAGGTTTTTGTTTGTTTTGTTTTCTTTAAATTTTTATTTTTTATTTCAGAATATTATGGGGGTACAAACATTTTGGTTACATATAATGCCTTTGCCTTACCCAAGCCAGAGCGACAAGCTTGCCTTTCCCCCATACAGTGCTCTCCGCATCCATTGGTCTCACTGTGTCACCCAGGCTGGAGTGCAGTGGTGCAATCATAGCTCACTGTAACCTCCAACTCCTAAACTCAACTGATCCCCTTGCCGCAGCCTCCTGAGTAGCTAGAATTACAGGTGCACACCACCATGCCTGGCTAATTTTTTTATTTTTTAGTTTTTTATACAGACTGGGTCTCGCTATGTTGCCCAGGGTGGCCTGGAACTCCTGGCCCCAAGTAATCCTCCCACCTGAGCCTTCCAAAATGCTGGGATTACAGGCATGAGCCACCGTGGATGGCCTGCTTTAATTTTTTGAGTGAAATGGTTGGGGGTTCTTTAAAATGTTAATGACGTAATATTTCTGTTTTATATATAATATCTTATATTTCATTTGTATATGACATTTTATA